GCCAAACCCTCCGCGCACCGCACCCCGCGCTGTGAGGGCACGCGTGCAGTCGTCTGCTCCCACCTCGCCCCTCAGCGTCCTCCCGCTCTGGTCACACAGCCTCGGACGCAGTCCCCAGGTGTGAGTGCAGGTGGGGGGGCTGGTACCTCCCGCCTAAGGGCTCCTGAGGGGCAGGAGGGTCGGCGGGGGGGGCCTGTGTTCTGAGAGCCTCACCTTTGGTGCAGGTGGGCCAGGGGGTTGCTGTGTCCCAGGTGTTCTTGGCCATTCTGTCACCAAGAGAAGGAAAAAATGCTTCTGGAAGGATGTCTCCGTGGTGGTGTGGACCTGTGTCCTGCCCAGAACAGATGTGGTGCCCTTTGGCAGCTGGAGGCTGCTGGTCTGGGCCCTTCTGTGGAGGTGGAGAGCTGTTTCGTTGTGGGTGGTGGTGTGGCAGGCTTCCACAGCAGCCATCTCACCTTGAGATGCTTCTTGTCACTTTCTGTGTCGTTTTATTTGATCTCTACACTTTATGTGCAAAGCAACAAATGTACTCCAGCTGTTGGAAGTCTGCCTCATGGGTTTGTATACTGAAATTATGGCATAGCCATTACTGTTGGGTTTCAGGGATGCAAGACTAGATGCTTTTCTTTTCCCTGTAGCCTCTTGCAGAGCAGCTAATGGAGGTCCTATTTGGAATACTGCCAGTCATGAGGTAGCCATGAAGGCTTCCCTGTCCCATGACCGTGACAACTCTGTCCCCATGTGCGTTTGCATGTCATTGCTCACGCTTTTGTCAAATAGACAGATATTTCTATACTTGTCATTGGGCCTGGTATATATTTGTATGGTTTGTTGCACGAGTGGGTGCTAATGCCTTTCATGTGACCAACATGAAGATATCTTCCATCTGTCTAAGGAGTATGGTCTTGTGATGAGGTGCACATGTCAGGCTTGAAGTATTGCCAAAGAAATTGAAGGAAGGGGCTGTGGTCATGTAAATTTCAGGGATGAGCTGTGGGTTTGCAGTCTCCTTTGCTGAACACGTTTCTATGGCATTGCTGTTCTGCAATCTTTGTGTATTAGGGGATGACATTATGGGGTTTTTTTTGGTGGTTTTGTTTTGTTTTTTGTTTTTTAAGCTGTCCAGAAAACATAAAGAATAGTGTAATGATCTGCATGAATTGGAAAAGAGAGGTAGGGAAATGGAGACCCTTGTCTGTTCTGATGCTGTATCTTTGTGCCTTATTTTGGTATGTTTGGGAAACTGATTACTGTATAATTACCTTGTTCTCACAGACAACTGTAGAAAAAAAAGTCTTCCTCCCTATGTTATACTGACTGTACCTAGCTGTTTGCTTAGTGCTAAGTAAAATCAATCTAATTTACAGTACTAATCTCAAGGCTTTTGAATTGTAATGGTGAGATTCTTTCTTCCTTTGGGAAGAAAACTTTTGTCTTGGATAACTATCTTTGGTAAAGGAAATCCTGGAATCGTGAGGTTCCTATGTATGTTGTAAATTCTGGATCATCTGATTTGCCCTGTGGCACCTGGCTGCTGTTCTGTCAAGAACCAGTATTCTAGTGACAGACACTTTTTTGTGTGCTGTTGCCCAGTGCTTTGTTGTATTATCACTTGAATTCTTGTCTGAAAACTTGGGAATTCTCTAGTCTTCATTTTGGTCTTTGATTTGTTGCTCTGGGAGCTTTGTGTCTCATGAGAGAGGTGAAGTGAAATTTGGTTTGTGGTCAGATATTTGGCAGCTGTACTGCTTTATCTCTCTCCATCCTTGCTGATTATTCCTGTTGCTTCACTACCCTCTCCAATATGCTCCCTTTCTATGGTTTTAGGATAGCTACATTGAGAACTGGTCTTGTTGGAGAAAAACCTGCAGTTTTATAAACAAAATTGAAGAAGTCATGTAGAGAGGAGAGAGAGCAGCTCCAAATGGCTTGGAACTAGTTAAACTGGTAGTTGGAAGAATTGGACATCAGATGTGAAGTTGGCCTGGAGGTGGAAGAACTTGCTACAAGGTGGTCACTGGGGACTAGTTAGCAATATAACCTATTTCTGGAATATGCTGGTATTGGGATTCTTTGTGTCCATGCTCTTAACCCTGTGGAATAGCCAAGGAGCAGGGTGGAAAGATGATGCAGAAGTCTTACTTCATGTATTACAGTTGCTTCAATATTTTGCTGTCGGTTGTTCCATTCCTCCAAGTATTCTCTGAGAAAATAATTTTTGAACAAAAGAATTAACCAGACTTTTATAAAAAGCATCAAACAGTTTAAATGGTGGAAGGTGTCACTGCCCATGGCAGGGGGTTGGAACTCTATGATCTTTACGGTCCTTTCCAACCCAAACTGTTCTATGATCCTATGAAATGTACAAGTGCCACTTCCTGGGTTTGCAACAAACACCATCGTTTTGTTTGTTTTGGTGTGTAAACTAAAGCATATACAATAATTGAGACAAAACCTATAGTTACAAGTATAAATTAAATTCCTATGGAACTCTGCAATTCCCACAATATAAGATTGGCCAACAAATCTACACAGCTTCTATCTGCAAGAAATTGTTTCTGTCCATGAAAAATCCTTAATGCTGGGTCCTATAACTAGTAAAGCTATGTTTAGTCTAGCGTTGGTAGGAACACTAGTAGTCACAAAGTCCTGTGTTTTTCAGTTATGTTGATTAAATTAGGTATCTGTCAGGTTTAAATGACATTGTGAAAAGTTGCAGGGGCGCGTTTGCCTGTAGTGTCCTTGGGCAGAAATGTCAATCTTATTCGGCAAGGCTTTCAGTATAGGCTGTTTCCATTTGGACAGCAGTTTTATGTAGAACATACAATTTTAAGTTTGGTAGTATGATTTTTATTTACAGAAAAAATATTTAGAATTTGTAGTTGCTGGCCCACCCGTAACTTTTTGCATGTGCTAAGAGCTTTGGAAGTGGAAAATACTATCTTCTGTTCAAAATTTTGACCACGTTTCCTGAGAGGGGGCCTTCTGTAAAGTAATTATATTTGATCTTGCTGGAAGTGTATAATCCCTATTTTTAAGAATTGGGAGGGTAAATCCAATACATCAATGACTGTTAAATTTGAATGCTTCCCCCTTTTCCCACTTTCTTTAAAGGTTTATTTGTTTATGTGACTAATACCGTGTTTTCAATTAATTGCCTGTGAAGCATCTTTAAATATGGAGAACTTCATTCTGTATGAGGAGATTGGAAGAGGAGATAAGACAGTGGTTTATAAAGGAAGAAGAAAGGGGACAATTAATTTTGTTGCTGTTCTTTGCACTGATAAATGCAAAAGAGCTGAAATAACGAACTGGGTAAGTAATGTTTTTTCCCTGCTAAATCTGGGAAAATATGCACCTTTTCTTACCCTTTAAGTAGAGTTTTATTTTATTATATTTATTTCTTCATCTGATTTCACTGTTGTATAATCATACACATAAACCCACGTTTACAGGCTTACTGTTTCCATGATATGTCAGAGAACCTGTGAAAACAGTTACTTGCATGTAGTGGTTTGCTTCATTTTGTTATCAGTTGAGCAAATACCTTCCAGTAAATAATCAATTTTTTACTTACCAACAAAAAGTTATTTTTAATGGAGGAATAGCATTTAGGGTAAATCAACTCTGGTTCGTAAAACCTTGGCAAAGTTTTAGACATAGAATACTTTATGGAAAAGAAACTGTAACTGATACGGTTAGACATTTAAAATATTTTTCTGTATATAAATTTTGTTTCTGTGAGTTTGACCTTGGCTAGATGCCAGGTGCCCATCAAGCTGCTCTGTCTCTCCTCCTCAGCCGGACAAGGGAGAGAAAATATAACCAAAGTCTCATGGATTGAGATATTGGAGGGAGATATTGCTCACCAATTACCGTCACGGGCAAAACAGACTCAGCTTGGGGAAATGAATTTAATTTATGGCCAATCAAATCAGAGTGGGGAAATAAGAAATAAAACCAAATCTTAAAACACCTTTCCCCCTAAAACACCCCTCCTTCCCAGGCTTAACTTCACTCTTGATTTTCTCTACCTCCTCCCCCTGAGCAGTGCAGGGGGACAGGGAATGGGGGTTGCGGTCAGTTCATTACGCATTGTCTCTGCAGCTCCTTCCTCCTCACGCTCAAAAAAAATCCCCTGTTCCAGCATTGGGTCCCTCCCATGGGAGACAGTCTTCCACTAACTTCTCCAACGTGAGTCCTTCCCATGGGCTGCAGTTCTTCACTACTGCTCCAGCGTGGGTCCCTTCCACCACATGTGGAAGGTGCGATCAACAAGTAGTTGATCTAGGGTAAAGCGGTATTGTCTCTTCCCCCCTGCCATAAGTCCATATATATTGCTTTTTGGTTTTTTTTTGTTTTTGTTTTTGTTTTTTCTTCCTAGCTAAGTATGTTAAAAATTTTGTTGTAGGTTCGTCTGACTCATGAAATCAGACACAAGAATATAGTGACGTTTCATGAGTGGTATGAAACAAGCAACCATCTCTGGCTTGTAGTGGAGCTATGCACAGGTAAGATAAGCTCAAAAGAAAAACATTTATAGCGTGAGTGTTTGTAAGAGATTTCTTAAAACAGTTTCTCCACAACAAATACTTAGATCTTTGAAAAAGCTTAATAATTTTCTGATTATTAACTTGAGAAACCTATTTATATGGGAAAATGCTTTTGCTTTTGGAAGCATTTTTAGAAATCAATTGAAATAATATTTCTCTTCTGCTTCACTGTATACGTATGTTAAATATTAATTGATATGACAATCGTTTTTAAGAAAAAAGATGTTAAGAAAAGGACTGTACAGAAATATTATGTGTGAAGAACAAACAAAATAATTTATCTGTTGGATGCTGTTGACCTCAGGACCCCAGAATATAACCCAGTTTTACTATTTCTGTTGTCTTTGAATTCAGTGGAAAATTGCATGTCAATAGCTTCAGCACTTGTTCACAGAAGCTTGTTCTTTTAACTCATGTAGCAGGGATCTGCTTAAGGAATTTGACGACACTCATTTGGTACTATTACATTGTGACGTGAAACCCGTTTCTGGGTTTCTTTTTTCCTTTCTGTTTCCTTTGTAAAATAAATAAATATTAAAGTAATTTTCAAGTCGTTCACTGAATTTAATTGTAGTCAAAATCATGGCTTTTTTCGCAGTGTTGGAAATTTGTAATTTTTTTCTGTACATTTGGGATTTTGTAACTCTTGGATAATTTCAATAAATATTTTTCTCTACTGATTATGATTTTTGTTGACATCTTTTGAAGAAACTTATATAATGTCCTTGGGAATTATTTGTATGGCATCTTCTTTATATGCACCGGCTGACTATGGATAAACGTATTTCAGGTGGTTCTCTAGAATCTGTTATTGCTCAAGATGAACATCTACCTGAAGATGTAGTGAGAGAATTTGGTGTTGATTTGGTTACTGGTTTATACCATATTCATCAGCTTGGAATTATCTTTTGTGAACTGACACCTGGCAAGGTAAGAAGGAGTATTATCTACAGGGGGCACTGCGTGTTACTCTGTACACCATCAGCGTTTAATTTAATATTTCTGTTTTACTGTTTGGAAGAGGCTTACCTCAGGTTGGAGACCAGCTGAGCTTTACAATATATGTGAAGACAGTGAGAGACAAGTCTATAGCCTGAGTATTTTGTGATCTAATTGATTTATTTCCCTGTTGTATATTTGATGCGATGCAATAGATTCTTTTTGATTTGGTGTACTGGTTTGAATTAATGAAGGATTTTAGTTCTTTCTCCTCGGATATATAACTTTGTTGTTATACCTATGCTATCATGCTGGAGAATATTTTGAAGTCATAGAAAATGCTGATGAGACAGTAAACTCAACTGTACTTTCCTTGTTAATAACCTTCTGTATTGTTTGCAAGTGCCATTTCAATTATCATCTTACTCTTGCATAAAAATGCAAATCTTTATGTAGCTTTTGATTTGTGTATGTGTGTGGAATTTTTGTATAGTTTTGTCTAAGTCCATGTGTGGTTTTAATTTATGTAGTAACCAGAATATGACTATAACCAGAAGTTCTTGCATAACAGTAATTGTTTTTTGATCTTGATCTGTAAGTGATCAAGTTGCCCTTCTCTGGATTTTCTGTAAAATCTTGCACAGCTTTACTCAGTTCTGTCATTTTTGGGTCCAAAACCAGCAAAAAAATATATGATGAAGGATAATGGAGATGCCTCTCTAGTCTTCCAAAGAAGATGTTGCTGTAAAGTACTTCTTTGAACATAAAGTACAGAGTGCTAAAGTAAGACTGCTTCCCCCTCCCTCCCCCTTTTTTTTTTCCTTCATCTGACTGAATGGGCTATTTCTCCAAACAACATTTTTTGGGATTATGAAGCTTTTAATTAGGAAAATAAGCAGTGATCGCATAGAGAAAACTCTCATGATCGTTGGACAAACTCTTTGGATTTTTCTGCTAAATAAAATTAGAAAGATTCACTTTTTTTTTCCTCAAATGAACTGATGTTTCTTTTTACTACGCTTTTATTTTCCTATACAGTTTTGCTCTACTTTTACTTTCTTTTCTGTAGTAACATTGTTGTTCATTTAGATTTAATTGGGGAAACAAAAGTGCACTCTTAAGGGGTCTATTGTGAGATTCTGTGATTTTTTGGTTATAAGAAACAAGGCAGTATTGGTGTTGACTTAAAAGAAGAACTTTTCGAAGTTTTCAGTTATACTGAATTACATACTCTATGTACTTAAAGGCTTTGAGATTGTAATTTTTTTAATAAATTATTTTATACTTTGTGTTGGAAATTTGAGCAGTCATCAGTTTTAGTATCTGATATTTGTGTGTTGGATTATGTTTATTCTTCTAGATTCTGCTGGAAGGGCCTGGCACTTTGAAATTCAGTAATTTTTGCTTGGCCAAAATGGATGGCGAAAACTTGGAAGAATTTTTTGCTTCAGTTGGATCTGAAGAAGGTGAAAGAGTTGACAGTGAAAGAACTCCACAAAGATACCTGAAAAACAGATTTCGAGGTATAATATTTTTACTAGATAAAATTAATTTATACCAAAGGGACAGAATAAAAATTGGGAAATGCCTTAGTTTGAAATAATTTGGAGAGAAGAACTTGAAATAAAATAGTTGTTCATTGTTCTATTTGGGCTGACTGAATTTCTAGAGAAACTGAGTAATTAATTCTGTTGTGTTATCATTTGTCAAAATTAATGTGTTCGCCTGTGTCTTTGCAATGGAAACCATGTTCCGTACATTTTCTGTAAGTAGGTTTTACATAGCCTGCGTATGGGGAATTTTTAAAGTAATCTCAAAACCAAACTTTTGCTCTTAAGGAAGGTTGTTCAGAGAGATCATAACTTACAGAGGGAACAACATCTGCAAATGAGTAGGAAAAAAAGTTTGTATTTATGAGTATAATAATTCACAGTTTCACAAAGCCAGTTTAACTAAGAGCTGGAAAAAATATACTTCTATCTGTCATAAAAGGTATAACATATTAACCATTCATGACCTTTCTTGCTTTTTGTAAATAGGTGTCAGGTTATTTTTGGATTGAAGCTCATATGTAGGTGATTAGAGACTGTAGTATACTTGTATAACAGACTTGCAACGTAACATAACTGGAGGTGGCTTATTTTAATTTTCTTTTTGCAGCTTGACATTAAATCCCTACAGTACAGGTTACTCTACAGACTGTCTGTTTATTCTGATCATGTTTTCGTTATTTTATAGAATGTTCTTGATTTTTTTTCTTTCTAGAAAAAAAAAACAAAACTTTAGGAATTAAAAAAAAAGCCAATTAAAAAAACCCCACCCAAACTGAGTATATGAATGAGATCTGAAATGTTTCAAGGTAGTGAATTAATTAAAATACTAATTATTGGTTTGGATTTGCTGTGGAGGCTTAACTATTAAGTGCTATTTGAGGAAAACTATGGTGGGAAGAAAAACCCTGTGAAATACCTTTGGTCCTTACTGCATTCCACATATCATCAGCTAAATATAAGTAGTAGGATTAGAAAAATGAGAAGATCACTAAAACTTTTGAAGTTCAGAGTTCAAACTGGAACTGTCTTTCCTAACTGATGAAAGTGTATTTCTGGTATTTAGTTAATATAGGACAGTGTGTTAAAAAAAAAAAAGTTTAAGGGAAGTAGCAGAAAGAATAACTGAGAGAACTGTCTTAGTAGTTTGCTGTCTCCTGTTGAAAGTCCATACTGGAAATACTAAGACCAAGATGAGATCTTTTTTCAGGAAGGAATACAAATCTAATCTCTTTCCTGTTGCCTTTCAGAACAGCTGTTTTGATGTGTATGGTTCATGACCTTTTGTCACTTAAAAAAATAAAACCCAAGCACAGAAGAATCCAAAAAAAGGTTTTAAAGGACTGTGGAATTGATATTTTTTTCCTGAGTTTGTGTAATTTTTTAGAGATTTTTGAGAACAAAGTTAGTGTTTAGATGGGACCGATGTAGAAATAGGAACTGTGCATTTCTTTTTCTATATCAAGACAGAAGGGGTTTGTGAATAAGCTGCTATAATTTAATATGTGATGTTTTCACAATGTGTTAGAGTGAAAATAGCTATAACTAGTTTAGATCAGTGGTCCAGCTGGCTAGCTAGCTTGTTTTTGTAAGAGGTTTCTAATTTAATGAAATAGGAAATATCCTAGTGTTAGGATAGCTTTTTAAAAAAGAAAAAAAACACCTGATGTATCATAATTATTTCTGTTACTCACCTGAGAATTATGTTGGTTTACCATTCTGCTCAATTTGCTTGGCTTTGGAATCTGTCAAGGTATATCTCACATACTCTGCAATAATCACTGCGTTAGAAATCTGTAGCACAAGCCAGCTTGGTTAATAGAAGTGAAATAAACAACAAAATAGTGTATATAATCCTGTGTAATTTAGTAAAAGCATAGGAGAGGAAACTTTGAAACTACTTATATTTGGTATCTCAGTTTTCTTATAATAAGCAAAGATAATCCCGAACTCACTGAAGTGTGGAGACAAAGTTTGAAGTGCTGAACAGGGTACATGCTGAATGAATAATAAAAGTGCATTGCGCTTATTGTATTTTTGTAGGCTCTCCGTTATACACAGCTCCAGAAGCAATAAAGGGAGAAGACTTCTCCAAAGCTAGTGATCTGTGGTCCTTGGGATGTTTACTTTATGAAATGTTCTCAGGTTGTAAGTTTGTGTATCTATTTAATAGCTGTGATAACGGAAGCATAAGTTGTTGTCTCAGAGTAAATTCTTATTAACTTCACCAGAAAGTTAACACCTAGAAAAACTTAAGACAGGTTTAAAGATTTGTTGAAGAATATACTAACTGTACTTACAAAAAAAAAAAGGGACTTTATCAAATAATCAAGTGAAGTAACACTGTTAAGTTGTCCATTTGTCTGTGATCTAAATATTATGATACTAACCAACCTGTATTCCTGAAATAGTATGATTTAAAATTATAACAGTCCTCAAATTGTGACAGTGAAGTGTTTTTGATCTTCTTAGTGTTGAACTCTGAGTGGATTAGTTTGACCTTTGAAAGAGAAAACTGTTTCACCAGTATAAAACTAGAGTCATTGGGTTTCCTGCAAATACAGTACCTGTTGGCATTGGCTGCGGCTTGAAGGAAAATTTCATCACAAGAGAGAATTGCAGTGCAACCTTCTTAAGTCTCAATACACTGATATGTTGCATCAACACAGTTATGTAGATATTGAGATTTCTGCCCAGACCTTCTCATTGTTGTCTCATTGCTGATTCATACAGGGCTGTCATGGTGACCTCTGTCAAGCCATTTTTGGTGCCTGTTCTATCCTTGGTCTCTTTTGCTGCTCATGGTGGAAGAATTGAATCCAAGGTTTTGTATTTAAATTGACAAGAGAACTTGATAAATAGCATTCAGGCTCAGGATGTTTATTTCTTTGAGTGTTTCCTTAGGAAAATGAGCTCATCATGTATCATTGCACCTGACAGCCATTCTGAAGTTTGCCTAATCTGTGAAATACACTTCTGTTTGTTTGTAGGAAGACCACCATTCTTCTCAGACAGCTTTTCTGAATTAATTGAAAAGATTTTATATGAAGATCCATTGCCACCAGAGGGTAACACTCTTATTGTTTAATGGGTCAAATTAGAGTAAGACTAAGTTAAAGTTTTGTTTTGCTCAAGTCCACTTTATTTCTTGGTAATAGGTATATGATAATTGGGGAGTGCTTTTTGAACATATAAACAAATTTAATTAGTTTGGATGATTGGTGGTTTGGTTTGATTTTTTTTTTTTTTTGAGAATCCTTTGAAATGCTAAGAGTGTATATTTAGGATTCTTCACACATGCATTTTTTTCTGATGAAATTACTATTACATAAAACTTTTTTTAGCATGATCTGTAGATAATGATTTGATCTGCATTGTATGATGGTTGTTTTTGCTGCTTAATACTTATCTTCTTAAGTGCTTCTATTTACAGGTTCTGCTTTTCACAAACCTTCTGCTGAGTTCATTAGTTTACTTGATGTCTTGCTTCAAAAGGATCCCCAGAAAAGGTAAACTGACTAATCCATGGCAGTTGTTTACATGGTCTTTTTTCAACTCTGGAAAAAATAATTGCTATGATACTGTATGTATAGCAATTTGTAGAGCACAAAGAATGCAAAAACCATTTAATCCCTCATAAAAGAACAAATTGTGCCTTATATGAAGATATACAGAATTAATGTTTTGATGAAGTATATCTTTGTATTTTTGTAGATGGTGCTAAATAGATAACTTTGTAACAGAAATGATAGGAAGTTTTAAAATTGGATGACTTTACTTTTCCAGAGCAATCTAGTTTACAAGGCATTGATTTATAGCAGATATAGTTGTATTTTTAAATAATATAAGATTATAATTTATAGGGTAGCTCAGCTAATTTAACTGCTGGGATTAGCTATGCAGTTGCCTTCATCCTCAGTCTCATACCTCTGTGTTGCATGAATTATCTATTCTGATTTGAGGCAAAAAGTTTGTCCTGTAAGAAAACTTGTTTGTTGACCAAATAAAAGTGAACAAAAGGTTCAATTGCTTTGTAGTGTCACTGGATTCAAAACCTGGTCTGATATCTCTCTGTGGAGCTGTACTTTGCCACTGCTTTTTCAGTTTTTGTTGCTTTTCAAAAGGCTGAACTGGACAGACATACTGCAGCATCCATTCTGGAAAGGAGCCCTTAGCCATTGTGGTGGTGATTTTGCAGACAGCCAGAGCAAGAGCTCAAGGTACTGAATGTTCAAGGAAGACTTCTTGTATAGTAAATCTAAGCGAACAAATATTTATGTATTTTTATTTTGGTTTTCTGTAAATTTTCTTGCTTTTGATTTTGCTTAGGATTTTCATGTTGTTAAGTAGTTGATGAAAGGAGTTGTACACCATTCAGTGAACAGTTTTGGATGCTTAGGAATGTATCCTGTTAGTGTGTTACACTGTCTGCTTGCTTTCAACAGATTCCTTCCTCCTGGCTATAGAATGTGTTAAAATTTACTTCTGAACTAACTGCTCTAATTTTTATTTATTTGTTAACAATGATGCATGGTAATTTGACTTTTTTTTGAAAGCTTTTGTAGAATCTTATAAATATGGGTCAATTTTATCTCTGCTGAGATTTCTTTGTTTGTTTTTATGCATTAGGCTTAGAGCATCACAAAGCCTATCAGTACAGCATCTTAGATTGGTGGTTCAGCCTTATATCCTTGCAATTGCAACTGACCCATATTCTTTGCTTATGACATAAAGCATTAATCTAATTTGTAATACTTTACACTGCTATACATGCAGAAAAACCCAAACCTTTTGTGAATAATAGGTTCTATGTATTAAAAAGTTCTGCTTCTTCAAAACTTCTGTTACCTTGCTGGTTTATGTTTTTAATTTTGAATTAGGATGTTTAGTGTTGATTTTTCTGTTCTTTTGTTCTAAATATTTGAAAGATACTTTAAGTCCCAATCTAGGGAACTAATGTGAAAATAATTTTCTTTTAGAATGCTGAAGTTTTTTTGTGTTCTGTCTATTTTACAATTCTCTCATGTTTAATACCGATTTCTGATACCAGTGCTGCAGTATTTTTGGTTATTAACATTTGTTCTGGTTTGAGATACAGCTCTTTGTCTTTTAATTTTATTGCTGCTTTCACCACCAAGGCAGATAAGAAATCAAGAAAGTTTATACCACCAAGTAAGAATTTATTCACAGTTAGCAAGATTTATGTCAGCTTCCACCACAGTGCTCATCTTTGAGGAATTCTCAGATAATCAGAAGAATCTTAATCTCCTATGAAATATTGGGCTGTTTGACTTTACTCTTGAGGGTTTTCTGATGCCTCTGAAATACCTGCTGAGGTATGCACTAACTGACAAATATGACAGTGCAGAACATGGGCTTGACATGCAGAAGTAGCTCAGTACTTTTCCAACTATGAGGCCCATGTATTTATTTTCTTCATAGTGTGGGTTTAATGAATACTTAATATTCTGGAGACCCTTCAAGAAGGCTGTATGACCCAGTTCCATGTGAATAATAGAGAGGTATATTAAAAAAACCCAAACAACCAAAACCAGTAAACTTGCAATTAAGTCTGACATGTAAATCATTAAGCAAAAAAATGGTGGTTTTTATTGATCTAAATGTAGGCTACAGACCCCAGTATTAGAAGTATGTTTGTTGTGACTTTTTCCTGTGAAGACTGAATGATTTCTAAAGCTTTTAATATTTCCTTATAGCTCTGGTATTATCAGTCAATAATTCAGCTTTTTTAGTTTCTTTCATGCAAGTTCTACTGAAGGAGCTAGAGAATCTTAATATTCTCCAAGTCATTTGCCGTAAACTTATTTTTCATCATTGCCGTTACTAATATAAACAGTATGTGTAGCACATTATTACAATAGTATGCTGATCTAGAGAATGGTAGATAAATCGTGTGCTAATAATTGCAACAAATAATGGATAAGATCCTTTATTTTTAATTTGTGTAATTAATATTTTTTTTATTAAACAGTAGTGAAGACACAGAGTCGTCTGTGTCTTGGAGTGCCAAAGAGCCAGTGGATACTCATAAAAATCTAGATAACCTGTCACCCTCAAGAGCAAGTAATAAGCTACCAAGCAATTCTTTCAAAATAGGTAATATTATTCATTAAGTTATTTTGAATTATTTTGTGTCCTGTGAATTTTGTCTGTCTTACCAATCTTATTCACTATGTTTTATTTTTTTTTAACTTCTGAATGAAAGTTCATGTTCTTTTTTCAGTAGAAACTCAGACTGAATTCCGCCCAAAAAGTGCAGTTGATGGTGAATCAAATGAATCAATATTTCTTCTCAGGTATGAAAACCTGAAGAACGATTAGAAAACCCTTAAAACCCTTTAAGGTTTTGGTTCTCTCCCCCTCCCCTGCCACCCTCTCTTCAGACATTTTCTTGTTCTGTTGGTAACATTTTGTTAGTGTGTCTACTTTTGAATTTTCTGTCACCAGTTTCATTAATGTTAAGAGACCTTTGAAGAGCTGCTAAAGCAGTGAGTGCAATTAAACAATGCTTTTGTGGCTTTATTACACTGGGCTTCGGAAGCAGAATTTTGATTTCTTAACTCTCTGTCTAAACAAAATCATTTATTTAGGATTTTCTTTCCTTCTTACTTCATATATATGAGAATATGCTTTGAATACGCTTACTTTAAATACACAAGAATAAGCATTCAGCTTATGATCTACTAATAAATTCTGCCTGCAGCTTTGGTATCACAAAGCTATTGGTAACATCTCAAGCTATTAGTAACAATCTGCTAATTACTACATAGGTATTAAATTAAAAATAGAGATTAGTTTAACGGTGATTTGTTTTAGTTGAGGCCTGATTCTGAAACTTTGTACTAGCTTTCAAGCCAAGAAAATTATCTAGTAAAATAGATTTTGTTCTTGTCCTCATCAAGCAGAAATAGTCCAGTTTAAAATTCAATATGCTTTCAAGCTTCTTACATAACGTGAAGTAGGCTATTGTGCATGATAGTTATTTCAGTTGGTTTAATAAAGTGTTATCTCATTTACAGTTTCTACCATCACAGCTAAAACCATGCTGTTAGTAATTTCAAATAGCATTTGCTGTTTGCTTTAGGAATCTGCTGTGAATAAAGGCTGCAATAGTGTTACAAACTCTTGGTATAACAGCATGTAATCCAAATTATGTCAGGAACGGGAGTAGAAAAAAAAGTGTTTTTAAGAACAACATATTTTATTTACAAGAAGTACATTTACTGTAACACAAAATTTGAAACATAATACAGAAGGTGTGTTTTTTTAATTTATTATTTTCTGGAATTCAATTTGTTTGTATGATTTAATTTCTCAAAGCAACATGTGCTACCTGATGAAGATTTAGAACATTAACGTGGAAGGAAGCTGCTGACCTGGCACTTGGCACCAGAATTTACATAGCTGCTGAAGTGGTTAATTAGCTTTTGACAGCAGTAACTGCTTCTACATGTGCAAAGGGAATAGATCTTGCTAATTTCAACTAGCTCAAATCAGTGATCACTTGTCTTGTTTTTGATCTGTTTCCAGCTGAGAACTGGAAAACTAGGAAAGATTTTCTTTTGCTCAAACACATAAGAAAGCAAATTAGGTTTGGAAAAAGATTAAAAAATCTGCATGTTTTGAAGCAGTGGAAACCTAGAATAAGTTGTTCAGCCTCCTAGCTAGAAATCATGGGGTTTTTTTTGGTTTAGGAAATAAGACTGCTTAAACTTCCAAGCAGATCCTGATATATTTTTTTTTTGTCGTAGGAATTAAGACATTTTATGTAATTTTATCTAGCTAGTAGAGAATATTTTGGCACCCCTTCATTGTGCCTTTTAAATTTGTTTCTGTTGAAAATAGATAAAAGATGCCTTTTTAACTAAATAAGGATAAGAATAAGAACAGCTATGTTAGTAATTTATTTGTTCATTGATGTTCATGAGTATCTTTAATTTTGTTAGGTTTTTAAATTTAGTTGCTTTTTCTAATGAATAAAATTGATTTGCAAGTAAATATGTATATTAATTTCTGTTAATCAAGAAAACACATTAATTTGAAGTGTTGATTAAATTCCTGGCCTGCCAATTTTAATAATTCTAAAGTGGATTTTAAACACTTTGATTTAAATTAATGTATACTAGAAAAAGTAAGGTCACTATGAGCTTTATGAAAATGGCAAATTTGCTGTGTTCTGGTCTCTCCTTTCTTCATTTTCTAATTAGCAAACCTGATTTTTTTTTAAAAGAAAAACTGAAAAGTAATCCCAGTTCACATTCATACTATTAAATCAGGCAGTTTTTGATTCCTATTACCTAGTTGAGGGTTGGCTGTCAGAAGAGAATAACATGAAATAAATTGCAATTTTTTGTCAAGTTAATTCTTTCCGTATGTTGTTTGTTTTTTAGGAATTAAGATAAACATGTTTTAGCATACAGTTTGGAGAACTGACCGTGGGTGAGAAAATAATGAAATTACATTAATTTAACAAAAAAACCATACACACGCACAAAAGAAAAGAAACCACCCAGTCCTTCCTATTTCTGACAAACAAATCCTCACCTTGTCAGGACATACTTAAAGACAGGAAGTTCATGTTCAGTTGGTGGAGCACGCTAGCACCATTTGTGCTTCTCAACTTTGAAATATGGCATGAAAGTTTCAAAAGAACAACAAAAAAAAGTAGTTTGCAGTGAAACTTAATCTTTACTCTTTGTGTTTTTTTTTCTTTTTTTCTTTACTGTTTAAGTTCTCGTCCCACTCCTAGAACTAGCACTGCAGTAGAAGTAAGTGATGCTACTACTGCCCCAATCCAGAATTCTCCACAAAGAGATTTGTGCTTAAAAAAGGTGAGTAGAAAAATAATATTAAAGGATAGCGATATCTTTATAGTTAGAATTTTAGCCTGGAGCCTGTGGCAAAGTCAACTTTCTTCTCCATCCTTCCATCATTATAACAAGAAAGCAGTTCCTACAGTGTGCAAGTTATTTAAAAAAAGGATTTGCAGAACTTCAGATGTAAGAGTTAAGCAAGATGCTTAGTCTCCTTTTTTTTTCCAATGTATAAAAAGGGTAATGCTATCTTCTTTCTTTTCAGTCTACTTTTTTGAACTTAGGTTGCAACTTTTTCGGACTGGGTACTTTTTTCTTTCAACATGTTTCTTTATCATGATTTGTAGTTGGCCCTATCTGCTAATCCATAAATGGATTGGCATAAATCCATGGCCCTATCCATAAATAAAAAGTAATCTAGAATATGTATATGGCCAACCTGTGTGGTATAAAGCTGAAATGAAATATTTTTGGAATAAACATAAACTTTGGGTTTTTTTTGTGCAAAACAGTTTTTAAAACAACTTTGTTCTTGTTGTAGGCTAAAAGTACGTGCTCAGGTCAGCAGGATATGGAGTCAACATTGAAAGAGCTCATTTACACTGAATCTGATCTTATCGTAACACCAATCATTGACAATCCAAAGGTATAGCAAAATAAAAGATAAGATTCAGGAACTTGTGTGTGAGGCTATTTTTGCAGATAAATCTTTAATCAGGGTGAAACTCCTTTCCTGTATGTTATAATTCTTATTTTAAAGCGGTTCCACCCAGTCATCTGGCAAGCTCTCATGCAATTTTTTTTCAGTCTTTTATAATCCTATTGTGTTGCTAATTTGGAGAACTGAGTTATTTTGGGATTGAATACTAATATTAATTAATGTCTTACAAGGAATAGAAACTACTAAATGCTGTGTTCAGTGGTTTTGTAGATTTGTTTTTTGATAACTTGGTTTGATATCTATTACTTAAACAGACACAGAACTGAGTGTATTTTGGTATGCTCAAAACAATGCCATCTATGAAGGCTTCTAGATTAGGAGTTATACCTTTACAGAATAACTAAACTTGAGACCTAATAATGTTTCTAATAAATAACTTTTCTGGAGAAAATAAGACCTGAAGTTACAACAAATGTCCATCCCATTTCTATCCTATGGACTGTAATGCGATAACAGTTTGTGTTGAGTCTCTCAAGCAGAGACTGATGCTTGCCTGACAGCAAAGGGAAGCCCAAAAAATACTGAGAGCTCTGCACTGCAATAACAATGTAATGTGCATGTGTGGGTGCAGGTGTAGTATCGGTAGAAAGAATGATATGCAAGAGCCCCTTTAGTCTTCCTTTTATTTCTGTGCAAAAGAATTAAGTAATTTTAGGAATTTTGCTCAACAAGTGGCAGATGTGGGGAATGCAACACTTTTCATTGAAAGTGAATGTCTAGCTCATCAGGAAGTCCTTACAGCCTTTAGTTGCTGTATGGTTTTAGTATAACAATTTTTGTTTGTTTTAATGGATTTCCTAACACTCTCAAAAATTAAAAGTCTTACACAGCTAGGTAAAGTAACTACCCAACAATACTGTTTTAATGTGTTTGGGGTGGGGGACATCATTGCCAGTGGAGAATTTCAAACATAATGATGCATTTGAATGCCACCTCTGTAAATTCTCAGTTCTGTCTCAGGACTCTGACACAAAGCCTTAGCTCTCCACTGCTTCTTTTCTTATTACAAGTACAGGAGATGAGATTAGGGATAAGTGTACTTACTGATGTGCACATGGAGGCTAATCTCCTTACCATGCAATGCCATACTCAAAATTAATTAATGAATAGCCCACTGAATTGCAGGGACGTGTATTCAGAGTCATTGCATACTTGGCGATGTAAAGGAGACTAAAGGATGATACTGACACCTGGTAAAGCTGAAGAGCTTGCAGTTTAATCTCCTGGAAAGGGATTTACTAGATGTTGGCAGAATTTTAAAAGCTGAAATGTCAGTTTACGTTGTAAAATTTCCCTATGTTCTGCAGATCTGTGGAACTGAAGACCTGTTTTAGAAAATAACTCTCTAGTTACATCTAGGCTTCATCTGTCAAAGACTGAATTCCAGTATACAGCTATCTTTTTTGTATGCTTTAGTTACTGAAAATCACACTGGAATGCTCAGTCCCAGAGCAGTCGTCCAATTTCATGATTTACCAGAAAATTATGTGTTGTGGGGAAAAAAATCCCCATACCTTACATATGATTAGTTGGTGACAATATGACTTTTTATATTCTAGAATGATCTAGTTTGTGTGTATATATATGTATTTACTGTATAGCAATGAATTGCTGAAACATTTCATGAGCTCTTAGCTGCATAGTTCCTTTCTATAGTTTTGAAACTCAAATACAAGTATTTTTCCTCATACAAGCAAGATAAAAATGTAAACTGAAAAAAATACATTATTTAGTATTCTATTAAAAATAATTAAGTTGTTAATATTTCCATTTACATTAAAAACATGGAGTTAAATCTCAAATATCTGCTTGTAAGAAATGTATACTAGAAGACAATGAAAAATGCCTCAGTGATGAGCAGTGGTTTGTATGCATCCTGTACAATTTTTGCATCTCTGTGTTTTCATGCTCAGCTGCTTAGAGATTTACAGAAATGCATTAAAACTAGTTGCAATGTATTTGTTTATTTTTCCAGATAATGAAGCAAATGCCAATTAGATTTGACTTGAAAACTTTACATATACCAACATATTCAGGTATGGTTCTGATGAAGTTCTGCATATGATGGTGTAACTCACTGTCACAAGACCTATACTCTCCCCTTGTAGGTGATGAGCTGTCACAGTTGGAGAACTCATGACTTTTCTGAAACTGAAATTGCACGTGTAATTTTTTTAGCTAGATCAATTTTCAAGTACTAACAGTTATATGTCCTTTCTTTCTCTTCTGCCTTCTTCAGTTACGAGCCCATGCCTAAAAGCTTTTAAAATAAGGCAGTCAACACTTTCTTAGTGTGGGAAGAACAGCCTATTTTTTTCTCTGCATTATTTTTGTAAACAGCTGAGATATTTTAACTGAAATATTCATCCAAATAGACTAAAATTTGACAAAGGTAGAGAAGCAAATGAAAACAGGATCTTAAAATCTGCAGTGTTTATCAGCTGGAATACTAGACAGCCTTGCCTCCCACCTTTGATCATGAAATGTTATGGGAATCATGTCCCAAAAGATACTGTGGAGTTGTTCGGGATTTGGGTTTTTGTTGTTGTTTTTAAGGGTTAGAAAAGCTCCTGTTATTTCTGAAAACAACAGGCTTGTCATTGTCATGAGTGTAATGTTTCCTCCTTTGGAAGATTTCCTGCAGTCTGTTTAAGGAAGTATTATTACACTTTACTGTGCTTCAAAAGGGATGTCAGACAGATACGTAGTCCTTCTAGAGTTCACCCCTTTCTAGACATAAAAGTTCCTTTTTTTCTTTCTATGAAGTATGTATTTTGGAGAGTTAATTTGTTGAAGAAATTTTATAGTTGGAAAGGAACACAATGTCCTCCAGTCTCCCAATCCAGATTGTGGTACCAGAAAGTATTTGTAATTTGGCTAACTTCCTAGGCAAAAATGATCCAATTCGTAGTGCCTGGGGGGGTGCCATTTTATTTTGTATGGCAATTATCAGACTGATGTTCTGATATGTTTGACTATTGTTGTCTGTGTTTATTTAGTATGGGGCAGTGTTTTTTGTGGTTGTAACACTTTCAGGATTGTATCTTTTTTCTGGATAACTTTCTGAGTTGTTTCTGAAGGTATTGAATTTGATGTTGTTAATAAAGATTAAAGACAGTATGGAAAAATTACAATAAATACCTGAAATCCAAACCTCTTTTCACCTTTACTAATGTAAATGATCCCTGCCTGCATTAGTAGGTATTGTTACTGAAATGTAAAATCGGAGTAAAAGACAGAAGACATGCTTGTAAATATCTGCCAGCCTGGTGTGCTCCACGACAGAAGTTGTTAATGAGTAGCTAACCAAAACTGAGGGAATGTGTGGGCCGCCGGAGGGAAGTTAGCCGTTGAGACTGATAAGGAAGTCTTTGAAAAATCTCTATTCATGTACTGTGGTCAGTGAATTGAACCACAGGATTTTTGTTGATCGTCCTAGTGAATTGACTTCTTTGTGTTCCTCCTGAAGTCATCTGTGTTCTGATACTACTGAGGATTAACTAGATGCATACCTACCTATATGAATAACTATACACATTTTCAGTTTATTGATTCTGAGGAGATTTTGCTGACTTTCATTAGTTTTTGCCTCAAATTTATCTAATTAAACTGCACTTTCTTATTAAGAATTAGTAATGATTACAGACAACAACTACTACCTTTCCTAAATATAATGTGAATAAATATTTGCTTAAGTGAAGTCCAAAAACTTCCCAGGGTTGCACTTTCAAAAATGTTTTGAGGCTTTTATTGCTACCTTTTTATGCTTTTTTTTGTCTTCTTAATTCTTTCTTGTTTTCTGTAATCTTCAGACATGAATTATAACATGTTTGTTTAACATATTAAGTACTGAAATTATAATTAGATTCGAACTTTGGAACTTATTTATTCATGTTGATGTTAATTTATAGAGTGTTAAAGCAACACCGAAGATCTGTTATCTTTAACTACTTGTTTTCGTCTGTTTAGCTGAGAAGTTATCATCTATGAAGGACATGGACTGGAATGACTTCTTGCAGCAAGTGTGTTCACTGCTTGATTCCACCGAGAAGAATATAGGAGCAGCACGTTCTAAACTGAACTTACTGTATTATCTGTGTACTGTGGCTGTCCACAAGGAAGTTGCAAGCAGGCTAATAAACTCTCAGCTGGTAAATATAATAAAGCTTTGAAGAAATCAACATGGTTTACATACTTGCTCTTGTAGCAAAAAATCAGATGCTTTTATTTATGTTTCGAGAAAACATTGGTGTATTGACAAAAAAAATATTTCAAATTAAGCACAAAATAATGAAATGTGTTCGTAGATGAAAGCATCAGGTTTTTTTCTTCTGCATAGTGGTATTCATAATGAAAAAAAGTTGTGGTTTTTTTTTAACACACTAATATATGCTTAGCAGTTTAGTTTAAGGCAAGAATATAGAAAAAAATTATTTTTACTTGCAGCCTTTTTTTTAAATAAATGTTTGGACAATATCTACAGTATTTATCTATGATAATATTTTTTGCAAGTGTTATCCAAATGCATTTTTATGAAATTACTGATGTTTTGGGTTTTTTGTTTATCATTGGGATAGCTCACTGAAAATCACTAATGTTTGTTTTCTTTAAACTATAGTTTCCTATATTGATACAGCAGCTGCGTGAAGCTGGCAACTGGGATGTGTAAGTACAATTATTTTAAATTAATTGGTTCAAGTATGGAATTATCGCTGAATTTTATTAGAGATACACTTTAACACAGTATTTGAGGAATGTGTTAGCATGTCAGACTTCTGTGGTACCTCACTGGCAGAATGACGGTGTATATAACATTGAATTTTTTCAGCACTGAATTAATATATTGTTATTTCCCAGCACCAAAGATTATAGAAAATCTCTAAAATGTTATCTAGAGGTTATGTAATTTAATGTATCAAATAGTGTTACTTAAAATCATTGAATAAACCAACCCATACCGTAGTAGTTACAAAATAACTATAATGGCAGCTTTTTTTTTTTAAATGCCTGTCAGAAATATTTCAGTGCGATAGTGCCCTCTGCTGTTTGTTTCATAAATGTTGATTTTATTCCAATTTTTTCTTTAATGAAACATTTAAAGCTGATTTGCTGATATAGATTTAAGTTCTGTTTTGTCAGCTATGCTTAAAAGTTTAAAGTCATCGAATCACAGAATGGTTTGGGTTGGAAGGGACCTTAAAGTTCATCCAGTCCCACCCCCTACCATGGGCAGGGACACCCTCCACTAGCCCAGGTTGCTCAAAGCCTCATCCAGCCTGGCCTTGAACACCTCCAGGGATGGGGCATCCACAACTCCTCTGGGCAACCTGTTCCGGTGCCTCACCACCCTCACAGTGAAAAATTTCTTCCTAATATCTCATCTAAATCTGCCCTCTGATCTATAGGTTTTTTTTTGTGTTATAAGAAAACTGAACATGAACATGACTGATTAAGATGACTCTAACAAGCTAAAGAATCTTCGTTCTTCAGCGCTAAAGGAAGTGTCTTTATATATTAAATTATTGCTAAATTGAGCTTAAATACTGAAATAATTTGATTATACAAAAAAAATAGAAATAAGAAGTAAATCTGAGGTGTAAACAGCACTTCAAATATGCCCTTAGCTATTTGTGTAAAATATAAACAAGACATAATTGTTTTTGTGATATTTTTGAAATAGTTCTTCTGCACCTACAAAAAATTTATTTGATATGCAGACGTGCCAAAGTTGCTCGGGTGATTGGTTTACTGGCATTACACACATCTGAACTTGGAGAAAATGTGCCTGTTTCTGAGGTAACTTTCTATTACTTCTTTTTGTGGGGGGGGAGGAGGGGAATTTTGTTAATGTCAAACTTTCACAGCTTTATTTTTTTCTTTGAGCCCTGCTTTGTTTTTTCTCATGTGTAAATGTGAATATAATTAATTCAATTAATTAAATGTATGAACTTTTGAGTTGATTCTATGTAGTTGTAGTTCTGATCTTTACTACCCTGTGGCAGAACTACCCACCAGTGATAAAACCCTAGCTTTTTTCTCTCCTTTTCAGAAAATCAAGGTATTGTATGTTGTGTGACGCTTTAAAAGAAACTAACAAAACCCAAACCTTTAAACCAGCATCATATACTGTATTAAAATATCATGCTGTAATTTACCCTCTTATATGAGCCAGCCGATGCTCCAGCTGAAGTTTCTTGGTGTCTGCTGTGATTTAGGAAATGTCAAAATCAAGATGTAGCTAGTCAGAACATAATCTGAAATGACTCTGTGTTCCAGGTCTTACAGACTTAAGATATATGAGTGATCTACCTATTCATAGTTGTTTCTGTATTTTGTATCCTCTTCCATTCTAATATTGTTTGCTTTTTTTGACGCCTGTTAGACAGAGGTGATGGCTCTGTAGAACGATCTCCCGTAGCCCCAGAATTTTGTTCCTAAGTGTGAACAGTCCGTTCAGAACTTATCAAGATGTAAATCTGGATTTATTTTTGCTCCCTATGTGTACCATGCTACATACATCAAGTTTTCTTTCCAATTTTTATCACTCAATTACATCCCCTTTGCAGTTCTTTTCTACCTTGTTGTGTACTTATCCAGTAATTTGTGATTTCTTTTGTAGTTTTGAAGTAACACAGGACTTAATAGCGCTCATGCAGGACACCCCTGCTGGCTCTTGCATGTTAAAATATGTCTCCTCTTTTCTACCCCCTACTGTCTTTTACCCAGTTATTACTTTATTTAAGGATAATTCCTCTGTCTTTGAGGTTGAATCTGCACCATTATCTTTTTGTCGTATTTGTTTAAAGGATTAGTGAAATATTAGTAACATAAAATCCGGAAGAAGCAGAAGAATTTCAGGAAAGAAATGAAGCCTCATCCTCATTGTACAGGCTAAAGTAAACTTTCATGTACTGTATGCCAAAAGCCTTTGATTTGTTCTTTTTTGACGAACTAATGGTTTTCCTTTTTTTTTTTTTTTTTTTTTTAAATCTTGTCTGGGTAATTGGTGAACAACAATTTGTTTCTAATGTAACCACAAGAGGTCACTAAAATGCAAAAATAAAATGCAAGTAAATGTTATTTCACAGACTAGAGGGAGATGTAACTGTGCAACTGTGTTTATTCTGCTGATGTAGTCTAATATGTAGGTCATATTAAACAAAAATCATAAGAAATTAGTATTTATACCTGTGAATTCACTTACAGTTGGTCTATTTCCTGTTAAGTATTTTTTAGAAGAATACTGCATTGATTAGAAAAAATGAGACTGATCTTAGAATATAATAGGGAAATTGATCTATTGTATGTTTTTCTTCAAATCACGTTCTCAAATTGAAGATATGGATGTTTTATGTGTACTTTTGAGCCTTTATATTTCTGATTTTTTGAAGTACAATTTAGTGGTTGTTTTCTACAGTTGCAAAGCATCTGCATCATTACAGGTGCAGTTTTATGACCTGTAGACTCTAGCTAGTCTGATTATATCTACTTTGGTCTAGGTCTGCAGTTTGTTGTCCTTCAAATTCTTACAGAATGCCCCTTTTAAGTCATGTTCCTAACTTGTCTCTTGGATAACTCCTGTTTCTAGGTCTATCCAGTTCTGCCCGTATTGTAAAGAGATTCAAATAAAAATGGTTTCATTTGGCCATTTATTCCCAACCTATTTAGTTTTAATGTTGTTTTAATTGTAAAATAATTTTTAAAGTTTGCTTACAAATGATCACAATTTTAGGGTATCTTTGTTTGTTTCCTCCAAGGGCACTTCCCTTCTTTTGCCCTGATGCCTTTTATGTGGAGAAAAACCCAACCCAAACAAAACCCACCCTAATTAAAAAAAAATCTGTAGGCAGGAGACAGGCTGTAGCAGAGTGTGTGCATGAATACTTAACACATGTGCATGCCCACGGATGTTTACTGTTTTGTGAAATTATTATTTTAAACCTTAGAATTATCTTCTTGGCATAATTGGGTTGTCATTTAATTCTTGGGTAACAGTGAGAGGAGATTTAATTTTAAGTTTTTTGAGTGACTTTTAGTAAGCTTTCAAGCTCTATAATAAATTTCTTCAGTTTATTTTCAACAACCTAGTCCACTGCATATAACTTACTTGCCGGTAGCACATGAGAGGAAAACAAACAAACAAATGATGAACATTTCTCGGGTAAATTGGCCTCTGCTGGCAGAAACTCCTGGTGTGCTTGAGCAAAGTTCTTCCAAGTTAATAAACAGAAAATGTAAATATAATTAGATTAACAACAATGAATCTGTCAAGCATGGCAGTTCTGGGTTGTTGGTGAAAATGCTAAGATCTTTTATCATCATTGTAGGAAGATTTTTTTTTTCTTAAATTAAATTTATCAATCCAATTAGTTGAACTTGTTTTATGTTTGAAGTCTGAACCAAGCTGGTAGTAGAAAACACGGAGATCCTCAGGTAGGGAGCTGAAAACTTAAATTGGTGATTGTGGGTTTAAATCACTTTTTTCAATTTTCTTAGATAATTGCCTGACCAAAGCAAAACCTGTAGTCTTTTAAAAGACACTTATTTGACACTGTTCTCATAGTCCGTTAAATTGACTCTTATTTTCTTTGAGAGGTAGTACATTTTTTCCATTAAAGTGGCATCAGTGGTGCTGCCAGTATGTCTGTTTACAATAGTCTTCAATTTAGTTACCTCTTATGATAGCGAAAATGCTGTGGGGTTTTTTCTACAAACCTGTTACTTTGGAATAACGAAGAAATATTCCCCTAGGATCCTTTCCTTCAGTGGATAAATATCTACTTCTCTGGAAGGTAAAAAGCTACCTGGCAGACTTTTGCCTGTGTTTTCAATATTTCATTCATAATTCTAAACATAATTTATATTACTCTTATATCGGTGCTAGACCGAGTTGATGTTTGAAAATAGTATGTTTCTCTCATTTCTTAGATTGACAAAAGGTCTTGCACTTACAAATTAATCAAATCATAGACTAGTAACGGGAGAAAAAATTCAGCCTTTTCCTCTAAAGCACATATTTGCTTAATTGACACAATTAGGCTACAACATGTTTTTGTGATAGAAATTGCACAGTGGTGGTAGCTGAAAAACCTACTTTCCTGCTGCCTTCTGATTAGAGCACTGAAAGACACTCAAACCAGGCTTGGTACCATGCAAGATCACTTGTGTATTGGTTTTAGTCCTAGCTTTTCCTCTGAATACCAGCCCTTTTAGCTGTCATCTGGAAGAAAAATGTGATTTTAGTCTGAAACATGTTTAAAAAAAGAATTCTGTAGAGAAGAAAGGAAGTTCTAACCAGATGTTGTTTGGTCTGGTTTGCATTTTCACTGTGCAGAATGAAAGAATTTGCAATAATCAATAAAGGGAACCAAGTTCAAAGAAAATTAGTGGGAAATCCTCGGAGTCTATAGAATGTTTTTAAAATATGAGACATTTTATGTAGAATTAATCAATCTAAAATATCCTACATGGATATTTTATTGATGAACATTGGTCTTCAAGAATGTCATTAGCATGACTTCTAAATCAAGTGCATAACAGGCCCACTGCGTGGAAGCAGAAGAATATGACTTAGGGTAACTTCACACAGAGTTATGAAAAGAATAAAAATCCAGAAATGTGATATTCAGAAAAGGCAAGTGTGAATGGTAGAAACCTGCATATAATGATGATATTTAAATATAGGGAAACAAAAAGGAAGAGAAGGAAAGGGAAAAAAAAAAAAAAGGACCTATTCTTTGGATGTTCCTGACAGATATAAAATCTCTATGTGCTTTGCAAACAGAAACTCTCAACGTACAAATGCCTAAAATGATACATCCAGTTCTCACGCAATGAGTCACCAGTAAACTTAGAGATCAGGAGACAAAACTTAAAATTCCCATCTCCTGATTTAATATCTACACAAAAGACAGCATTGTTTATTATTGTTGGTTTTCCTTTTTGTAACCTGATGGTGAGGAGATAGGTCTTGCGATAGAAACATAGAAACAGCAAGTAGACTTGTTTTTTTCCTGGCGGATCCACTTCTATTGTCCTGAGCGAAAGGGAAGAAGGGATAGCTGACAATTTGTCACCTGGGCTACTTCCTTATTGCATTTTTCTACACGTTGAATATATAATCTGTTTTGTAATTATTAGTTTTTCTTGTCCTTCCATGCTTGCTAAATCCTTTGCAAATGACTCTTTAGCATAAGTGAAGAGTAAAAGCGTTACCTTTAACAGTACACTTTGCTTGGGAAAAGATTATACGTGTTGTTCTATGACATACTTTTTTTTTTTTTTAGGCAATTATACTTTTAACTGAACTCATCAGAGAGAACTTCAGAAATAGCAAACTGAAACAGTGCCTTTTACCAGCACTTGGGGAGATTCTTTACCTTATAGCCAGAGTGGTAAGGCTGTCAAATGATCCTTACAAATTTAACAAATGTGAAAAAAATTTCCCATGGAAAAGTAGACAAAAAAAGCAAATTACTTTGCCAGTGGTATACTCAGCAGTTTCTTGTTCTTCTGTGTTCCATGATACTTATTCTAGTTTTAAGTAAAATGTTTGTCCAGTCATGTACTTCATCTGAGATAAGTTAAATTACATTCTTGAAGTATAGAGTTTTAACCTCAGAAACAACATCATCAATCATCATAATGGCTGCTGGCCTCCAGGTGACAGATCCAAGTGTTAGAACATCTTGGCTGGAGACTTTGATTAAATAGGGTGTATCAGTACAGCTTGTGATAGCAATAAATTAACATATCTAGGCCGTACTAGATCTTATCCTAGCATGGGTGTATTCACAATGCTGTGGAAAAGGAAATGGAATGATCCTGACTAATTTCAAATGGAATTACAGTGATTCCTGACTAGAACTGGTTTAAACCTTCAGTCTAGAGATGGTAGATTTACATTCAAAATAAACAGAGGTCATGTGTAGAAAAGAAAGGCAATTAATAACAGGAATTGAAGATGACAGCTCCTTTAAACCCTCACTTTTCTTTTCCCTTATTCAAAGAGCAAAATACTTTCTTATTAGAAATGAAGATGACTTCTTCCCAAAAGAGGCTATTTTTTTCACTTGCTAATATTTCTGTGTTACTAGCCTAGATATGGAGATTGTTTTAGCTAAATCTCAATGAAAAAAAGTGCCCTCTTTTAAACTTGGAAGTTTTTTACAGTATATTACTTGGAGGGGGGGGAGGGCCCAGAAATGGAGTTGATTAACTTTTAACGGAAGAATCAAACCCCTGATTCAATTAGCAGTGAATTAGCCTCTGTAACAGGGTGATTTCAAGGAAATATACATAAAGATCTTGGAACAGTGTTGATACATACTGAATTCCATACAGTAAATTTTATTAAACACTTTGTATCTCCCTGTATGACTTTGAATATTTTTTTTCCAAAGTAAGTTTACTTTTTTTTAATTGCCAGACAAAAGTAATTTTATTTGGTATAATTAAGTCACACTTAAAGAGAAGCATTACTGCTTTTCAGTTGTCTCTTTCTGTAGTAATCAAAATGATTGAGAGGAATGCAAGAAGGTATTTTTATGAGTGTGAATTGGAATGGATCAGTGAAACCCAGAAATATTAGCACAGATTCTGCTATGGATTTTGGAGACTATTGAAATAAGCTAATATAAATTTCTGTGCTGTACATGAAAAAAACATTAAATAGTAATGCTGCCCTGGAATTTAATATATTTTCTAGCATATGTTAATTTGAAAATGTGTATAATATGAACCTTATTAAGAATCTGTTACTCATTTTTTTATGTGAGGGAGATTATAGTGATTTTTTGATTTAATAATTTGTGCTGTTGGCTTCGTTTCAGGAGGAGAAGAGGGAGCACCCCAGAGAACGCTGGATTGTTCCCTCTGCTGCTTACACTGTGCTAATGAGGTGTCTTCGAGAAGGGGTAAGGCTCTTTCTTTCATTGTCCTCAGTAGGATTTCTCCACTGTAATAACCCTTTAGGCATTGTGTGAGAATTGTAGCCTGCAGCACTGCAGTACCTTGTCAACCAAGTATTGCTCTTGAATTTAAATAATCGTGATAAGACCATGACTTAAGCAGGAGATTAATGCAAAAATGCAGTGTTGTTCTCTGTACATTCAACATTTATGTATTGCTGCTTGTTTTTTTGGAAATAGGATAGTAATTGCTGTTAATAGATGTGGAATTTATTATTGCTATGGCTTTCTTTTGAGAAATTTTCTGACAGTTTGTACTGTCCTCTTGCAATTTGATTTTCGTACAGTGCGTTTCTGAGCAAGACTTACTTTCTATTTGGAAGTGACTGATGTAGAGTTTCTGAAAACTGCATTGTTACCCTGCTGGATTGTTGCGATTCTTTTGAGGCCAAAAAGTAGTGATTTTACTCTCATGCATGTGCTTTGCTGTATTCTTCATTTTTCTTGGGAAGGGAAGAAAAAACTTGGGTATAGTTCCAATTTGTAAAACGAAAAAGAATTGAGTAGAGGGTTGGCATTTACTGTTTATATGAGACTGCTTGACTTTATTTTTGCCCAAGGCAAAGCTCAAGGCAGAAAACATGTCGGAGGTTGCTGGAGGTGGGAAAGCAAGAGAAATACCTTTTTTCCTTCTTTTTTTTTTTTTGAGATCTTTATTGCCTGCAGATTGTGATTAATAGGGGAAGAGCCTAAGTGCATTTTAACATCTTCAAACCTTCAGCTTTATCAAGAAAATATGATGGTGTTTGTATTGGGGACTATTTCCAGCTCATAAATTAGAGTAAGATGTCATTCTAAGGCACATTATTGAGAAGCTATTTAATTATACATTTTGTAATGGAAGACTTGCTATTTCTGAGTATTCAGTGTAGAGAAACTAAATCAAGACATCCATAAGACACTAATTTATTCCTTTAGAATAAAATCACTTCTTAGTCTTGAAACATGCCAAAATTTTCGTAATAATTTATCTTGATATATTTTTGTTGAAAAAATAACACAATATAGAAATAAGTTTCCCATGCAATAGTTTGAATTAAATTTAATTAAGTGTACATTTAAAGGTATGTCTAGTCTAACCAAGCAGATCTGTGTGTTTCTTCATTTTCTGTTTGTGAAGATACCCAAGGCTGGTAATGGAGTTTAAGTATTCCTGCTTCTTCGTGTGAGTACAGTGCAAATGTACTAATGCAAATTGCTCTGTCTCAGTTGTAGCAGCCTCAATTTTCCAGAACAGCACCATTTGAAGAATCAAAAATATCCATGAATAAGTGAAGTACTTCACAACATAGGGAAATGGAGAGGGAAACTTAACCAGCCACTAATATTAACTTTTACCATTTATTTTGTTACTTTTTCCTCCAGTCTTGTAGCAAGAAGTTAAGAAGCTTTATTTGACTTATTTAATAAGAATTCAACAAAATAAAACCAATTAATGTCATTCAGTACTATAGTTTATATAGCTTTGAGTTTTGTAAGGTGAATTCACTGTTCTTCAGTTTCATTATGACCTGCTCTGAAGTGTACACGGATCTCTAGAGTTTTGTAAGATTCATCATTATCAGAGCAGGATTGCTTCTGAAACAGAATGGTAGAGCAGGAAGGAGTTTGAAATGTGCATGTATCCCGTTTATTTGCCTATAAAGGAAAAAGTGTTCAGAAATGTAGGTAGTGTCTACATGCCTTCTATGCCTGGAAATGGAAGAGTAACAGAAAGTCTATGTATAGGTAAAAGGAGTTTTAGGAGGGTAGAGTAGAAGATTGGGCAAATCTTTTATCTGTAGGGGATAACAAGTTGAGATTTCCTGCACTTCAGTGTTGTTAACTTGAGATAGAATTTGATTTTCAACTCAGGCAAAGAGTTAAATGATGTGTCAAAATAAGGAGATTGGTACACTCATAAATAAGTAAATTATAAGCCCAGTTTGATGTGATTAGTAGTTGTATAATGTTGCAGTCTGTCAGAACCCCTGTAGTAAATATTCCAGTATTTATTTACTAATCTTTTCCAACAACTGTTTCCAGCAGTGACACAAAATGCCTGTTCCAGGCACCTGTATTTGTGTCTTGAGTTCAACTTTGAAATATTTGTGTGCAGTCACTAAGATAGCAGGGTCCTGATTCTAGAGCTGAAGTGCTTAGTTCTTACAGTTCCTGTGTTATGCAGTCATGAAAGATACTCTCTGTTTCAGAAAGAATATTCTTTTGATGTCGCTTATTTTTTTTTGTCTTATTTGGTCTGAATTATGTTGTTTTGATGAAGTCCTTCACTGAAACTAGACAGCAGAGTCAGAAACGGTGAGCAAGCCTCCTTTTAAGTCTTCCTCTGTGAAAGCAGAGTGGAACCATTGAAAAAGCTCTCAGGTGCTTCACAGAATCACAGAATCACAGAAT